ACTTGCAGCACTGTCACACCTTTTGGTTTGGGAGTTAGAACTGGGACAGCCCCCCACATATTATTCTTACCCCAAAAACTAAGCTAAGCCTGGAGGTTTTTTATTTGTTCCTAATGAGTATCAGATTAATCGGGGTGTTTAGAGAAAGCATGGTCCAGCAAAACAAAATGTATTTCATGGAAATGCTTTCATGTGGGTTGAACTCCTGGTAGAGTGCATGCTACAGACCATAGCATCCACGGTGAGGGAATTACCTGCCTTCACCTCCTTGCCATGGGAATAAGCATTTGGACAGATGAGGACTCACTGCCTGACTGCAAGTGTGAAAGCATATCCCATTTCTCCCACTTTTCCAAAAAACTCCAACATCCACTCGCAAGACAGCCTTTCCTCAGTGCTGAGTGAGCCACACTGGCTTCTATCATGTTCTCTGTATCTTCAGCCTGTGGGGGAGGATCCCTTGCTCAGGGGATCTTCAGCCTGTGGGGGAGGATCCCTTGCTCAGGGGATGCCCAGGTCTCAATGCTAAAGAGGACATGAGAAAGTGGCTCAGAGCAATCTCAGCTGCCCATGGCAGAAAGCAGAAATATGGCTCTGGAAACCCTTGGGACCACTTAGCTACTGATCCCGATGTTTGATGAGACATAATTGCCATAGAATATTTGGATATACTGACTTGCTTTAAATCCATTGCAAAAAGCCCTCTGAAACAACCTTCAAAATCTGCAGACCAGAAAACTCTAAAAAGGAAATCCATCAGGCAGTAAAAGAAGTTACAATTCTGACTCCGTACTCTGAACATTCACATTTAAGCCCTACACAAAGTTACGCAAGCACTCAGGACCAAAAACTAGGATCCAGTAAAGATTTATGTCCACAGGGGAACATTATTTCTTGTCCTTGACAGCACAGAGCTTTATACAGTATTCTGCTAATAAATCATATCTACTGCCTCTGGACCACAATTGTCAACCTTGGCTGCAGGAATGCRTGGGACACAAAGGAGGAATTAAGTGCTCCAGAAGGAAAAAAAAAACCCACCGGATGCTGGCAGGTGTTTGGTAACTGGTTTCTATTTGCTCTAGCCTCAGTTGGGAGAGCAATATACTCACATTAAGATACAAAAGGGATAATAAATCTCTTCTCCCAGATTACACAAGAATGTTATATATTGYTTCCATATGATCAATAATTCTGTTTTCAGTCTGGAAATCCGGTCTGACCACAGCTTTTGCAATCTGTTCTGTAGTCTTTTAAAGAATAGGAATGACAATGTTTTGTGGCATTATTTTAAAATGTCTTTTGAAATTTCTCATATAGTACACAAGAGATTTATATTAATTAGAATGAAGAGAAACGAAGTAGAAAAGGCTATGAAGGATATTATTCATGTTTAACAAAATTATAATCAGTTGTTCTGATTTCATCTGTATTAACATTTCATGAGTTTTGGGGTTTGATTTGGTTTTGCTGTTTGGTTTCTTGTTTTATTTTATTTTTTTTTTAACTCAACAGTTCACAAGTCTGTCTGGTTTAAAATTGGCTGGGCTGGGAGGAGCACTGGGGGAGCCCAGTACATGATCAAAGAGCTCAGCATGAGTAATGTTTTAGGGACTCAGTAAGATGGAGAGAGCGCTGCTACAATACCTGTTGGTTGCCCTGGGTACGTGGCAGATGTATTGCTTGTGCCACTTCTGAACATTTTTCTGGATGAATTATTTTGTTAAATCAGAAATATATATGTTGGAACCAATTAGCTTAATTGCATCTTATCAAGAACCACGGGTTAACACAGCCATCTGTAAGACACCGTAATATTGTCACTTCAAAACACAAGGTGACAGCGTTCCATGTCTTAGATAAAATCCTGGCCTGCTGAAGCCAAGGAATTGTGCCTTTCCTCAGGAATGAGACTTCACATACCAAATTYCAAACTTATCAGGCATAGAGCCATAAGAGATAAGGAAAAAATTGGGAGTCTTGCTGTTATTTTCCAGGCACTCGGTGCTTTGCTTTCGCAACATGGGCCCAGTGCTGCTCGTGGAGCGCTGCAAGGGRCGTGTGGAACTGCAGTAGGATTTCTTGTGAAGCCGTGTGGGCCCTTCTCACAGCAGGACACTACAAACCCTCAATACACATCAGATATATCCAAGCAAACAGATCTAAGATTCCTCACCTTGGCCAGTTCCTTAATGAGGAAAAGTAGCCAGCTCATCACCACCATGGGCACTCCAKAGCCAGGCAGGCWTTCCACATGCCTTTCCCTCATGCTCGCCCCTTCAGACTACACATAACACATTTAATGAAGCTTGAAGCTGTATCTGTCCTATACAGAACATTTACAGAGCACTGGAAGGATAGAATCACAATGTATTTGCAGCACAGACCTTTCTCTTGCTGCATTTTCACCCAGTGATATGCTGGAAGCAATAAAATATGAGGAGAGGTTTGCTCCTCTTTATCTGGAGCAAACACAAAGTAAACTCTACCAAGTACAATCTAAATACAAAAATCTTCTTTTCTGAACATCAAGAAATCATTTGAAAGAATGTCAAACAGATGCTCCAGCAAAATTATTTTCCCTGCCTCTTTTCTCATCCCAAACCCTTATTATTACTTTTTGATTGATTTTTCTTGGCTCTTRCACATTCTCATGCTGATCTTCTTAGGTGGGCTCTATACAACCTTCCCAGCTTTCTTTTATCCCCTYTAGTGTTCTTGCCAATAAATTATTCTAGTTTTATGAAAGGTTTCTTTTTTTTTTATTTCATAATAATTTTCTCTTGATCCAAAATGAACTAAAACTCAGTGGTTGGGTGTTTTGTTCTTTAATGCAACACTTGGTCTGCCAACTGCCTTAAAAATGTATTTCAGCCCTCTCTGTTTATTTGAAAGCTGTTTCTTCCAAGAAGGCTAAGAATAATGTGGTTACCATAGTTTCCTTTTCCACGACCAATAAAATGCAACTTGGAATACAATAAAACAAAGCTGAGACTATTCACAAAATGGGCCTGAATGAGTGAACACTGAAATCTTCACCCTACATCACTCTTGGCACTATGGAAAATATTCTAGACTAATCAACAGGCAGYGTTTGGTCCAGCAGGGAAGATGAGGATAAGCCTGTCCAACAATCAGCTGTTTGAGATATTTCAATTCCAACATTTAAGATGTCTGTCCTTGCAGAGTTCCCGTTTCCCAGATTTAGTATTTCACTGCAGAGATTTTGTATTTTTCTGTAATCTCTTGTTCCGGGAAGTGATTGTGTAGGCAGCACTTTGCTAAGGCTCACTGGAACCAAGTGATGGATTAATTACTCGTAGGAACCAGTTGACAAAGTAAATAATGTACTGTTTGTTCTTACAGTTCTGTTGGCTCCTGAACAGGCAAGATTCTAGGGAACAAGCCAAAAATAATCTTTTTTGTTTCAGTCAACTGGCCAACAAAACCCAACATACGCTTCATAGATTATACAAATTACACCTGCTTTGGACACATCCATTTGCTTTCCTGATTACAAGTGATGGAATTTTACTCTAATAAAATCAACTTCTAAGAAATGAAAGGAAAGCAATTGTTCTCAGTAATAATGAATAATGAAACAGAAAACCACATSCACAATGGATGCAGAGACCCGCTGACAAGTTGTTTTTTTTCCTGATTTTAAACCCTTTAAAAAAGTAAAATATTTTACCTTTAAAAAACAAAACAAAAGGAAAAAAAACACAGAGGATCTTCTGTTCGATGGAGGGAATGGGAGGAAAGCAGAATTCTCCTCCCACAGACTCAGTGCATGCTTTGGGACTGACTCCTGTGGTGTCTGGGCCTCTCATAAACACACCAGGTGAAAGTGGAAGAACACAACTCAAGATTTGCTGGTGCTCTGATCATGTTTTCTTGCCAGTGACAACAGCCCAAGACAGCTGAGTTTAAATTAAAAAGCTCTGGCCATGGTTGGATAACCCCTGGATGTAAGCAATAGGGGAAGCAAATAAAGCAACTCCCTTCCCTCCCAACACCCCAGGCACCCGGGGCTGKAGGTGGGGATTCTGAGCAGCAGGAGCAGGAGAGCTGCTGGAAGAGCATTTACTTTTGTTGTTTTTGAAGAAAAGCTGTTACCCTCTCTGTGCAGCTTTCTGGAGTTTTTCAGACCCCAGAAGCACCAGCACTGGGTGTATCAAACACACAGTGAGAGCCAAGTCRTTTCAGTCATAGCTTAGCCACAAGAAAATACAATACTTCTTTGATCCTTGCCTTCTCATCTTGTAAGGTCATGTGCAGGTAACAGAGTATAGGAAAAAGAGAAAAGGTGTAGGAGTTCAAGAGATCACTCATRTGGTGAACATGCTCCACTCTTTCAGTGCAAGTTCACCTCACAGTAAAAGCATTCTGTGTGTAGCAGGATGCCAGGATTAATGCATAAGAAAAAAATAGTACTTYTACAGGAAAAAGGTCTTAGATCCCRTTAGAATGTTGCTCATTGCATCACTTAAACCRAGTAGTACATTTTTAAACTGCTCATGTCAAGTTAATCAGGATCAGCACTATAAGAGAAAATAGCTAAAAGCAGTGACTAAAAAGGGCAGGTCATTCACATCACTCAAGCGAATTTAATGGGGAATAAGAAGAAACAGTGAAGACTGAGCCTACATTAAAGTCTGCACCCTTCTTACATAGGAATAAAGAAATAAGTAGATCAGGGATTTTTTCAACATTTCCTTTATGACTTCAGTACAACCCACTCCAAATCTGAACAGCCTGGCCAGTCTGCTCAGTAATGTTTTTTTAAATTCTTCAGCAAAAATACCCAAGAGGAGAGTCACCTGCTCAGGCCCTGTAGCTCTGCATTGCCTTAGGGATAGCAGACCCTGCTGTAACCCAGCTGGGAATGGTGCCACAGTGACATTTGAGCCCCATGCACTGTGCCACGATCAGTTTGGCTGTGGCTAGCTAGAAGCAGCAGCTCCTAGCCCATGCTGTGATGACAGAGCAGCACATACCTCGTTGATGGCCAGCTGCTCCCCGCCTCCCCCGGGGTGGCCGTAGCGGTGGTTGGAGCTCCGGAAATCCTCGTACAGGTCCTCCTCGCTCCCCACATCGTCTGTCAGGGCTGTCTTGTCCAGTGCTCCATCAGCAATCACTGCAACAACAAAATGCACAAATTGCTATAGACCATGAGAGCCTCAGCAGCACTGCACCGGGAGAGGAACTTACTGGGGCAAGGAACACCATAACACAGCATAAAGAGAAAAAAGGAAACCACACTGGCAATTTCAGATCAGAATTCCAGCCTCATGAATGCCTCTTTTTCAGAGAATTTTTCTCCACTCATAGTTTATCACCATAAATGATTTTGTCTTTTTCTAGGCTGGAAAATACTATTACAAAAATTCAACAACTGCTGCATGTTGCAAAGAAAAGATGAAGTAAGAATGAGAAAACAGAATCTGAAAAAAGGCATAGGGCAATGATGGCACAAATATGATTTTACTGGGACCTTCCTTGGTGGGACACTGCATTGGTAACAAGCAGCTCATGTCTGTCACTTCATACCGTGAGGATTATGATTTACCAAATCCTATCAGGCCAAAGGAAGAGTCAGCCTTTGGGAAAATTTTGTCAACATACTTGAGAACCCCTTTCATTGCCTAAAGGGTGTTTGCTCCAGAATTATCCCTTACTACCACAGGAGRGCCATTCTGCTCAGCATAGATAAACAAGCTACAGATAATGGAGGGTTCACAGTGTGCAACTAGAACAAACATTGAAGTCTCAAGATATAAGCCTGAGCAAAATAAAAATACTGCATTTATCYTCCTTGCACAGAAGAAAGTGTGACATCAACTGTTTCATAGGCAGGACCATTTTTCTAAAGTCTCCCCCAGGTATTAGCAAAYACCCTTCAGTGGCATGTAGTGTCACTCATCCCATCCCTCTACTGGTTACTGAGCATGAACTTTCTGTTCTCAAATCTGTGAAAAATGGCAGCGATTAAAGAAAACACTTGCTGACATATTCATCAGGATTAGCAACTGCTAGGGCAATAGTTTCCATGACAAAGCAGTGGGCTTTACAAAGATTTCTATTTCTAGAACCTACACAAACACGATGCAGAGAAAAGCTGATAAAACCAGTAATTTTAGTTCAATGGACTTGACATGGCTACAGGAGCAGAACTGAATGAAGTGAAAACACAGATACTGCTATCAGCACTCCTGGCAACAGCTTGGCTGTGCAAATTACATGATGTTATACTCAATATTCTTGCAGATCAGGTGAAAMAAGCTTTTGAGCTTGACCTTGTAAAACTTTAATAGGAAGTAACTCACAAACCTGCTCTTGAACTCTCACTTCACTTCATAATGCAAGAGCATTTTATGCACCTAATTATGCCAATGGATCRAAAAAGCCCTTAACAATTCATTAGCTTATTAACACCTGAAACCAAAGTGAATAAAGTGCTGATCGAGGTTAGCGCCAGACCTGCWAAGCTTGTCCTTGTCAACACTTTCAGTACATGGGATGGTTTGTTAAGGCTGCACCACCTGAACACTTCTATAAACAGTGAGGTGTAAATTCAGTGTWGCAGCTATCAGTTCAATGCAGTAACTTGACATCAAAATGACAAGTATGAGCTATTTTTAAACTAAATCCTTGCTTGTTTATGCTTTGAATTTAATAAATAGGCACAACACAGCAAAGACTGTCTGAAGCTGGCTCTCCACTCGGTATTGATGGCAATTCAGGACAYGAAGGTGCATATGAGCTTATGATTAAAGCAGAATTTTCTGTGCAAGTGTGGAACTACCCAACCATTCAACTTTAAGTGACATTTTACAAAAAAATCAAGCATTCCCCTAGCTTTGCTCTGACACATCACATCGCTCATTATACAGAAGTTCTGTACTGAATACATGCCAGTAGTACCRACTGCATATAAAGCAGTTCTGGGGCTAAGACCTAGTCCATTAATATAAAACTCAAAACCAGCTGGAATACCACTGATATTATAATTTCATGCAGAGTTGCCATGGTTGAAACTTCCAAAACTAAATTTAAGGGCATTAAGGTATAACTTTTTGCTCAAATGCTGTCTGAAAAACCTTTGTTTGATCAGAATGAACAACTCTTGGTGTGTTAGTGCAGCACAGAAACAAATTAGAAATGTTTTTCAAGAACAAATAAAAATAAATCATTTATAAGAAGGAAGTCAGCAGTCACTTAATTCAAAACTCCTTTGCAACCCTCTGAACTCATTCTTTCCCCTTATTTTACACATGGCTTCATTGCTTTTCCCTWATGCATCTTCTGCTATTTTCACTGCTAAAAGTAACTTTCAAACTAGCTTGAAAAAATGTTCATTGACAACTTTAAAGCTTTTGTTTTTTTGCCCCCATGTTTTCCTATTTGTTCTCTGATCTGTRCTTAGATGAAAAAGCAAAAGCTCCAGGGAGGTATTTATCTGTGTTACTTAAAATGCTCTATACMTCTGCTAAGTGCCTTGAAAGCTGTGCTTGCTTTTACTAGAGATCTGTTTTTCCTCTCTGATCTTACCAAGCTCATCAATTCTCTGCTGTCTCAAGACCTGCTACTGCATTTGGGATTAGTTTTCCTGGCAAAAAAACCCCCAAGTCCTGTAGACATATTGCACCAAAACCACACTTCATAGTCTTGAGGAAGAATGTCCCAAAATAGCCATTACACATTTTCCCAAACCAGTGCTGCAGGGAAGAATTAAATTAATGAAAAATCAGAATTTGCTCTGAAGTAGGTGACATGAAAGACCTTTTCCATGACATGAAAGACCATTTATTTGACCACAAATAAATAAATAAAATAGTACTCTGAAATGGTGACCCAATGCACTAGAAAACCATCAAGAAAGTAGGAGAATGAAAGCTTTTAGCATAGGAACTGACTTAACATGCAAAGCATAAACTAGGTCAAGTAGAAAAGAAGCAAGCACTATAGAAAAATCATAGAAGACAAGTTAGCAGAGATTGCTGAAATAGTCTATCAGCCTCCTCAACAGCACAGCACTGGCTGGACAGGCCACTGTTCAGCTGCACAGGAGCTAATTCAGAAGTTTCATTCCTGCCATCTCCAGGTGTTCATCTCTGTTTAACATTGAAATCCAGTGGTRCAGTCATGCCTGGCCTCTCCGTGCCTCTCTGAAACACTGACCTGACCTGTCCCTCCCTGGCAGTCAGACAACATCAAGGAAAAATGTTCTGCCAAAAAGTAAAGCCAAGCTTCAATTAACTCAAGCAGATTTTGCCATATTTTATACCTCTGTCCTGATAAATTTCACKAAATTTGGCAACAAACCCCATACACAGGAACAGAGGGGAGGGGATGCCACCACCATTTAGTACAACAGCCAGTATGTGCAAGCATTAAAACTCTGCTTCATCCTGATGTTAGTCCAAGGCCAAGCTCGGGATTGATGTCATTACAGCACAAAAGCAGGTGGATAATTCTAGCAATAGCAGCTCACAAAAGAATGCCACACAAAACCCCTTTTTTATGCATCCATATAGATAAAGTGTCAAAACCCCAAATCCATGAAGAATTACCTGGAGGATGTATGGAACAGTGTGACCTGTGCTAGGGTGGCACCAGTCTTAACTGAACTCTGGGCTACAGTTAACATTTGTTTTCTGACACCTCCAGTATATAATCCAGTACCAACTTCTTTTGTCTTCCCACCAGTCTGATGAACAACACAAAACTGCAAAATCTCTTCTCTGTATTTTCCCCTCCCTGCCATCTCCTGTTGTTGGTGAGGATGGAGGCTCCTCTCCCAAAGCATGCAGACTACAAACTTCATACATTCCAAGTGCCAGGAATTAGTGAACATAGGTTGCTGTTAAACAAACAACCAAACCAAAAAAAAACCCCAAAAAATCCCATAAACCTACCATAATTTAAAAAAAAATTAAAGAAAAATTAGCCCACCCTCTCACCGGAAAATTATTCTCACAGAATAAATGTCTAGTTTCCTCAGAGGAGCTGGACACTACAGCCCCAAATTTAGCACAGCCTCCTAACAGCTCTGTCAAAGTCACAGAGGTTTATGTCTCAGCTGGAATAAGCCCCAGCAGCTCCCCAGTGGCGAGGAGCTCCAGACGTGTGTCTGGGTCACAAGCCTGAACAATGACCCAGGACTGAAGGAAAATGGGCTGGAGGCATTTTCCCAAAATGTTGGTTTTCTGTTTTCACTTGACTTACAGTCTACAGCTTTTAGGGATAAGGCTGGGATAGGAATCCATGATGATTATGGACAGCTTGGAAAGCCAAGAGCATCCACAGTTTATTAAAAGCACATTTTATTGACAAAGGGAACAACTTTTCTGTATTTGAATTCTCTCTTTCAAGTGTGCTTTTTCCACATCCACCCATTTCATTTGTCTCTGTAGCATTTACATTTAAAATAATTCACCAAAACAACAGTAGGAGCCTGATTTACACTCACAGAGCAAATTAATTCAGAGCTAACAACATCATCCCCTCTGCCTGACTGAGCAGAGATTGCTGTGCTTGTGTGCAGCGCCCACAGGAAAGCGCAGTGCAGCTGCTGAAGGAAGCACTTCAAGAGATTTAAGATGATAAACAAGTGAAGGGCATGCACGGGATGGGGAACCACACCCAGACTATATTGCCCAGTGAGAAGAGCCCCCCTACCCTCCTTTTCACCCATTTGAGATTGCAAAACCCTTGTATCCCTTGCAAATAGCTGCCACAGTAGTGCTGCAGCCTCYGTCAGTCCTGTTCTCAATTATGTGCTTCATTTATCAGATGCTTGATATACCGAGGTCCCTATGCAGCTGCCACAGTCAAATCCATCAGAGTGATGTCATCCCACTTCTGCCCCAGCAGTGCAATTCTCCAGCTCTTACTGTGCTGATGGACCCTCTCTCAGCATTCTGCTTATGGTTGTGGGCCAGTTTAACAGGAAGAGGGAAGTCAGGCAGGGAATTAGTGACAAGGGAGCAATGACCAGTTAGGATGAGCTTCAGGAGGAGAAAAAAATGAAACAAAACAAAAAACCAAAACAAACCAGAAAGTCACCAGGAGCATTGTTCTCCAACACCAAGCCTAGAGAGCTAAGGTCCCTATGATGACATTTCTGAGTAGGTA